GACAAACTATACTTTCATCAAGACCAGAGACAACACTTTTAATATAAAACCAATTTTTAGGGACGCCTGGGTGCTCAGCAGTTGAGTGTCTGCCTTTGGCTCAGGGTATGATCCCAGAGTCCTGGGATTGAGTCCTGCATCGCCTCCCCGCAGGGAGCCTGCTTTCTCCATCTGCCTGTCTCTGCTTCTCTGTGTCTCTCATGAACAAATAGATCTTTAAAAATAAATACATAATTAAAACCAATTTTTAAACAATCAACTGTTGTATCAAAAGTAGTCCAGGAATGTTTATGGACTTTTTTACTTAATTTCTCTTTTCTTTTTTCAATAAATCACATATTCTTGGAATATAACTTGCAAGTATAATGCAGAACCCCTGTAGCCCACTGCTCACTCTCAACTCCTCTGCCCTGTGGAGTACAAAGAATTTCCCAAGATGACACTATCAGTATCAGGCTCCTACGTCTGGTGTCAGAAGTGGAAAAGAAAAAAGCCAGGACTGCTGTGAACTCTTTATTCTGCTTGTACAGAAGACACATGAGACCTGAATGCTCTTGAGGACTCCTCAAATTCTGCAGGAAAAGGTAGGGACCTAGACAGGTTACTGTGAAGTAGGTAGGCCCTACATGTGGATGAATCCCTCCCTGGACTAAAGGATGAGAAAAACGAGAACAGAGCAAGTGCTCTCTGCTGGGCAGTAGACCCCGGGGCCTGGGAATTAGAAACTTAGTTTTCTAGGTTTACAGCAATTAGGGCAGATAGAGGATGAGCTGCCTCAATCATTCCCTATCAAGAACTCTTCACCAGAGCCAAGATTCTCCAGCAAGACCAGTCACATGGAAACTCTGAGCCTAAATAAAAGTCAGCATAACCCAAAGGATCCTCTAAGGAAACCGGGATTGGTCCATACAGCTCCGTAGCTGAAAGGGACCCAAAGCCAGGTCAGGCAATGAGACTACTTCCACAATTTCCAGCACCCATCTCTTTAGAGTAAACATTGTATCCTATACTTTCTTCTCATCAAATAAACATACCTAAGTAATTTTGCACATGTTATATTGGAAGTGCCTGTGAATACAGAGACAGAAATATCAAGTGGGCAGTTGGATACCTGAGTATGGAGCCTCAGAGAATAAGTCTAGGTCAGGGATACGTAGTTATCAAAATACAATCAAATGTAAGGGAAACCAAGGCAGCAGATGAGATTTGTCAAAGCCTACAACTCATGTTAAAAGAAAAAAAAGAGAGAAAGAGAGAGAGAGAGAGAAATAAGCAGTGTGGGGAGGGAGATACCAATTCCCTTGGTTGATTTTAGGGCTAAATTAAGGGATATAAGAAAATCAACCACACGTGGCCTCAAAGGACACCTATACTTAATGTTCTGGAAACTCCATAAAAGCTAAAAGGATTTCTCCCAAAGTCTCCACCATGGCTCTCTGCTTATTCTTCATTCTATTCTTGAAATACAGTTTATCTCTTTGACTAGTTCAAAGCAGACTGGCATTAAATCTCCTTTGGAACAGTTAGGGTGGTTAAGTATTTCGGTTTCAAAGGAATGGACCCTGTAAGCAAAGTTAACATCAAAAGAGGAAGCCAGATGTCAAATACTGAGCAAAATGGTGCTGTCAATAATGAAAAACAAGCACTGCAATGTGGAGAATCCCCACACCAATAACCTCAAGGTAAATTTCAAAATATGTTTCAGATACAAACTTTTATCCCTCATCTGTGACCTATATTTTTTCCCTCCACCCACTACATCCTCTTTTATTAAAAGTAACACAAAGGGAAAACACTTTTGAAATCAGAGTGAGACTTATACACCCCAGCTGCAACTTCAAGATATCATCATGACTAAGTTCACATGACTCACAACTTTCCTGAATTATGCAATTCATAACAGTTCAATTGAAATCATCTTGGGTGTCCTGTAGAGTACTCCAAAAGCCAGGATTCTAGTATATATTTCTATCCTTCAGAAAAAATGTCGTCAAATCCCAGGGAGCCTGGGTGGCTCAGTCGATTAAGCATTTGCCTTCAGCTCAGGTCATGATCTCAGGGTCCTGGGATCCAGCCCCATGTCAGGCTCCCTGCTCAATAGGGATAAGATGTTTTTATAAAATATAAAATAAAATCTTTTAGAAATATATTATCAAATCCCTAATCAATATTTAGTACTGAGGGGCACCTGGCTGGCTCAGTTGGTAGAGCATGCAACTCGACCTCGGGGTTGTGAGCTTGAACCCATATGGCAAGTAGTTTGCTTAAAAAAAAAACTTTTTTTTAAGATTTTTTAAATTTATTTATTGATGAGACAGAGAGAGAGAGAGGCAGAGACACAGGCAGAGGGAGAAGCAGGCTCCCTGCAAGTAGCCTAATGTGGGACTCGATCCCAGGACCCTGGGATCATGCCCTGAGCCGAAGGTAGACGCTCAACCACTGAGCCACCCAGGCATGCCAGCTTAAAAATTTAATACTGATGTTACATAACATTTATAAGACAAGTAGGCTACAATAAACCATGCTCCTTAACTATAAAACTATTCTTTGATCTTGACCATTTCAATCTAAATAATGGTAAGATTAAGTTAAGGAACTAATCACATCTGGAGCCATCAAACACACATACACCGTTATTCTTCAAAAGAAAAAATACCAGGCAGCCCAGGTGGCACAGCAGTTTAGCGCCGCCTTCAGCCCAGGGCGTGATCCTGGAGACCAGGGATCGAGTCCCACATCGGGGTCCCCGCATGGAGCCTGCTTCTCCCTCTGCCTGTGTCTCTGCCCCTCTCTCTCTCTCTCTGTGTCTCTCTCATGAATAAACAAATAAAATTTAAAAAAAAAAAGAAAGAATACCCACAAGGCATAGATTTATCACTGTGAGAACATGACAACTCACTCTGTCTCTGAGACTCATTTGTCCTTTTATTTTGAAAATTAAAACATGTTCTATGAGGTTCCTTTCAACTCTACAGTCTCTAAGTACCCCCACTAATTTTTCCCTCTTAACCTACCTAAATTTAAAGACCGGGCTCGAGTATCACCTCCTTCAGGGAGCCTTCTATAACTTTCCCAGGCTCTGTTCCGCATCTTTTCACGGTAACAATACTTGCCATAATGTAGTGTATCTCTCTCTCCTCCAAGTTGTTTCCGAACTGTCTGTTTAGATATCTCTGTACAACTATGCAAAACTTTTTGAAGATAGATACTGTGTGATCTTTCTATTTCCAATGTCACACATAATACTTCCATACAGCACATGTTCTTCTAACCTTTGGTGAATAAATAAGTGTACCCATTTTTCTGGCAATGGTGGTCTACACTTTGAAAATAAAAAGCACAAAAATAAAAAAAGAATCTCTATGATCTGTGAATGTCATGGAAGATTCATCTAGAAACTAAGGTTTTTGGGACACCTGGGTGGCTCAGTGGTTGAACATATGCCTTCAGCTCAGGGCGTGATTCTGGAGTGTCAGGATCAAGTCCCTCATTGGGCTCCCTGGATGGAGCCTGCTTCTCCCTCTGCCTGTGTCTCTGCCCTCTCTTTCTGTGTCTCATAAATAAATAAGTAAAATTAAAAAAAAAACAACAACCATGAAAAATCAACTTTGCCCACTGGGAAAATATACTACGTTTCATAATGACAAACTAAACTGTCTTACATGCCAACTTTTAGAAGGCAAAGAACCCTAAGACTTTGTAAGTTTACACAAATTTCACATCCCTTAATGAACGTCCAACCTAAAGTTCAATCTCTTTAGAAAAGCTAAATAAGATTGGGTGGGGAGAAGGGATAACTGGGTGACCCGCATTAAGGAGGGCACTTGAGGGCCGCCTGGGTGGCTCAGTGGTTGGTTGAGCATCTGTCTGCCTTCCTCCCACATCGGGCTCCCTGCATGAAGCCTGCTTCTCCTTCTGCCTGTGTCTCTGCCTCTCTCTCTGTGTGTGTCTCTCATGAACAAATAAATAAAATCTTTAAAGAAAAAAAAAAGAAGAAAGAGAAAGAAGAAAGAAAGAAAGAAAGAAAGAAAGAAAGAAAGAAAGAAAGAAAGAAAGAAAGAGAAAAAGAAAACGAAAGAAAGAAAGAAAGAAAGAAAGAAAGAAAGAAAGAAAGAAAGAAAGAAAGAAAGAAAGAGAAACTTGATACTAAGCAGTGGGTGTTACATGCAACTGATGAATCTCTAAATTCTACCCCTAACACTAATAATACGGTATTTGTTAGCTAAACTGAATTTAAATACAGAAAAGACGTCCTTTTAACTAAAGAAAAAAAGAAAAGAAAAATCTAAATAAGAACACTCCACCTCCTTGGCTCGAAACTGATGCAACTGGTCATCCCTGATAATTTCTTCGTTTAAAACGGCCAGGAAGGCGTTCAAGCGGTATCAAAGAGCTGGCCCGGTAGGTTCAGGCGCCCCCCTCGCAGCCCCTCCAATGAGCCACAATTTCAGGGCAAAAGCTTACGACGTTCGCAAAGCGCCAAGTCCGGGATGCGCTCTCCAGTCACCGCCTTCCAACCAGACGACTGCACAGAAGAAGCTCCACCAGCGGGACTTCGAGTTCGCTCCTTGCAGAGCCAGGAGTCGCCGCGGGGATGCCGGCCCTTCGCACCCGCACCCCTCAAGGCCGGGGGCGCCTCAGGACCTGGACCCCCCCCACACACACACCCCTTACCGCCTTCCCAAACACGCGCTCCGGAGGCGGACCCCCCAGGCCGTCGCCCCCCCCCCCCCCGAGGGCCCCTTCCAGTATCCCTCTCCCATTCATAGAGGCCAGCCCGGCTCCCTCCCTTCCCTGCACTCCAAGAGCCACACCCCCTTCCAGCACCCAAAACCTCGGGACGCGCCACGGCCGTCCAACACCCCGCCCCTAAACACCTGAGAGATCCAGCTCTGCCCCGAAAGCGGCTCGCGCCGGGCTCGGGCTCCGGCTCCGGGCTCCGGCTCCGGCTCCGGGCGCCGGCCCCCAGCTAGCCCGCCCCGGCCCGCCCCGGCCCTTACCCAGTCGCTGCGGGGGCTGCTCCGGAGGTCGCGGCGCCAGCACCAAGGGAACCACGCTGGTCCAGAAGAGGACACACCGCCTCATGTTCCCGGCCCGGCCACCGGCTCCACCTCTCTGGGCAGCCTTCGCCTGACGGGGGCTCGGGACACTGCTCACATTGGGAGCGAAGGGGATCCGCCCGGCCCGGCCCGGCCCCTCTCGCCTCCTTTTCCTCCCGCGCCGCCTACCGGAACACTCCAGAGAGCCCGGCTCGAGGCCCCCGGAAGTGCGGGCAGCGCTCCGAGACGGCGGCTCAGCCCGCTTCCGGTTGCCGCCGACCCCCGCACCGCCCCCAGCCGGAAGCCCGGCGCCGCGCGGCCTGCCGGGAGGCCCTCGCTCGCCCCGCCCACCGCGCCCCGCCCGCCGCCCCGCCCCCCGTCCTTCCCTCCCGGGCCGGCGCCGCCCGCTGCTTCTCCGACCCGGACGTCCTGACTCGCCCCACCCTGGCCTCGCCCGTGTCCCCGGGTGACCGCCGCCAGGGAGGCGGGAGCGCGCGAGCAGGCCCTCGGAGGCGTCCGTGCCCTGGGCGCCCCCGATCTGGTTAGGGTCCCCGTTGCTGTAGAAGCCGCGCTGAGCCCCCGGGCGGGGGCGGGGGCGGGGGCGGAGGGGCGCCGGGCCCGGTGCGTGCTCGGGGGCACCGACCACCAAGGAGCGCCTGGGCCGCAGGACGGCGGGGGCCCTGCGCCTAACCCCGGAGCAGCCCCGGGCCCCGCAGGCTGCAGGCGCCCGCGGCCCCGAGCGGGGCTCGGCGGGCAGGCCCGGGGTCTGCAGACCCGGAGAGTCTGGCGTCCCAGCCCCATTCCTCGCCTGTGTGAGTGCAGGAGCTAGGGTCTAGCAGCCAGCTTTTAAAAATGTCAATTCCTGGGGCAGCCCCGGTGGCCCGGCGGTTTAGCGCCGCCTCCAGCCTGGGGTACGAACCTGGGGTCCCGGGATCGAGTCCCGCATCGGGCTCCCCGCACGGAGCCTGCTTCTCCCTCTGCCTGTGTCCCTGCCTCTCTCTTTCTCTGTGTCTCTCGTGAATAAATAAATAAAATAAAAATAAAAAGTCAATTCCGCCTGGCTCGTGTAGCTTGGTTTGGAGACGTCCCAAAGCAGTTCTGTTTTGTTTTGCAATCCTTTGCATAATTTTAGCTCTGTGTAGTTGAGTGTTTATAGTTCGGAAGAAAACATTCCCATAGCCCCGGATGCGTAGGGCTCCTTGGGTTCAACTAAAATTTATACAAGTGGGGACATAACACATTTTCCACTTGAGAGTGAGTGGAACAGCCTCTTTCTCCATTATCAAGCGGCAAATCGTTAGGAATAGGATATAGACTCCTTCGGTGACCTCGTTTCAAGGCTAGTTCCTAGTAAAATACACAAACTGTGGTTTTTTTTAAATATTTTTTTTTTAATTTTTATTTATTTATGATAGTCACACAGAATGAGAGAGAGAGAGGCAGAGACACAGGCAGAAGGAGAAGTAGACTCCATACACCGGGAGCCCGACGTGGGATTCGATCCCGGGTCTCCAGGATCGCGCCCTGGGCCAAAGACAGGCGCCAAACCGCTGCGCCACCCAGGGATCCCCACAAACTGTGGTTTAAACAGGTTCATTGTGGTACGCCTCAGGACGATCTCAGCATCTTTTCCAACAGTTGTTATCCACGGTTACTCACTGGCTTTGCACTTTGGGCTCCGCTGAACCTGGTCTGTTCATCTGAGGTATGCCTTCTTATTAAATATAAACATTGATGGCATACCTAATCAAAAAGTAAGCAAAATTTTATCTCTGTAAATTGCACGCTTTAAAAAAACTGTATCCCAAAAAAAAAAAACAAAACTGTATCCCTTGGGATGCCTGGGTGGCTCAGTTGGTTAAGCCTCTGGCTCTTGATCTTAGCTCAGGTCTTTTTTTTTTTTTTAATTTGAATTCAACTAATTCACATATAGTGTATCTTTAGTTTTATAGGTAGAGCTCAGTTATTCATCAGTTGCATGTAACACCCAGTGCTCATTACATCATGTGCCCTCCTTCATGCCAGTCACCCAGTTACCATCCTCCCGCTGACCCCCTCCAGCAACCCTCAGTTTGTTTATTATGGTTAAGAGTCTTTTTTGGTTTGTTTCCCTCTCTGATTTTGTCGTGTTTTATTTTCTTGATCTTAGAGTTGTGAGTTCAAGCTCTGCCTTGGGCTCCAGGCTGGGTGTGAAGCCTACTTAAAAAAAAAAAAATTATATATATATATATATATATATATGATTTAAAAATGCGACCATTGTATATAATTTTTTAAATATTTTATTTATTTATTCATGAGAGATAGAAAGGATGAGTGAGAGGAGGCAGAGGCAGGCTCCCCATGGAGTAGGGGAAAGCCATTAAAAAGCTTGGCTTTTACCCCAGGACCCCAGATCACCACTGGAGCCAAAGGCAGACGCTTAACTAATTGAGCCACCCAATTGCCCCTGTATACAATTTTTTTTTAAGATTTTGTTTATTTATTCATGAGAGACACAGAGAAAGAGGCAGAGACACAGGCAGAGGGAGAAACAGTCTCCATGCAGGGACCCCAATGTGGGACTCGATCCAGGGACTCCAGAATCATGCCCTGGGCTGAAAGCAGGTGCTAAACTGCTGAGCCACCCAGGGACCCCCACAATTTTTTAAATACAATTAGAGTATCATTTCCTGAACAGCTAGGCACCATACTCTCCAGCTTAGAACTTTAGTAGGTCCTAGATTATATTTTTTGGTGTCTTTCACAGCTCTATAGTGTCTTGCTCACAGAAGGCACTTAGCTATCTATTTAATAAATGCCATTTAATTTTTTTTTTAAGTAGGCTCCATGCCAACATGGGGCTTGAACTCACGACCCCGAGACCAAGTTATGTGCTCTAACAACGAAGCCAGCCAGGTGCCCCAATAAATGCCGTTTATTAAAATGTAAAGCTCTTGATCCATTTTCTTACTCATATCCAGAAGTCCTAGATTTTCAGGGACAGTCCAGATATGAAGCAATCCGATTTACAAATCAGTACCCAAATTAGGATTTCCAATTTGAGGTTTGCCTTTCATTTATCAGTTGTCTATATCTTTAAGATAAATTAACACCACGTGGGGGAGATAAAGAGCAAGAGGAACGTGATACCAGGGACAGGTTAGAAGAACTAGTAGTCTGAGCCAGTGATCTTCAAACTTTTATTCTCTTATCCCCAAAAGAATTGATCAGAATGAACTTTGCATCATAATGTAAATACATTTAAAGTTGAAATTGTTAGGGTCATTCTTTTAAATTTACCTAATGGGATATAAATATCTGAGAGGTTTGGTTTTTTTTTTTTAAGATTCTATTTATTTGATACAGAGAGAGGGAGGGAGCACAGTCAGGGGAGCTGCAGAGGGAGAGGGAGAAGCAGGCTCCCCGCTGAGCTACATCCCATGGGTGGGGCTACAACCCACTTCTGGCTCCCTGCTCAGCCGGGAGCCTGCTTCCCACGACCTGGGATCATGACTTGAGCTAAAGGCAGATGCTTAATCAACTGAGCCACTCAGGTGCCCCTAAATATCTGAGAGATTTGATAGCCACAGTGGTCACCAGCCCCCAAGGAGCCCTCAGCGGTCCCTGCTTCTTGATACACTTTTGTATAGTCAGTCCCCCAATAACACATTGGACAAAGGGTTGGTCCATATGGTCAACAGCATACAGCAGAAGTGACGGTATTTCACTTCCAGAATTGTAAGAGACTATCTTCCATCTGCGGTGCTCTCTTTCTTAATTGCTCTCTCTTAGGTCACTCAGTGGAACATAAAGGAAGCCTACAGAGGCCCACAGCCAGCAAGTAACTGAGACTTACTGCAGACTGTAAGAGTGAGCTTGGAAATGAACTCTCCAGCCCTAGGTGAGCTTTGAAGTGACTGCAGTCCCCCAGCCCAGCAGCTGGACAGCAAATTCCGGAGACCCTGAGCCAGGACCACCCAACTAAGCCATTCCCTCATTCCTGACCCTTAGAAACTGTGGGAGAGAATAAATGTTTTAAGTTCCTAAGTTAGGAGGAATTTGTTACACAGCCACTATCATCTGCTTTAAAAAATACAGCCTGGGCACCTGGTTGGCTCAGTCCATAGAGTATGCAACTCTTGATCTCAGCATCCTGAGTTCAAGTCCCAAGTTGGGCATAGCACCTACTTAAAAAAACAAACAAACAAACAAAAAAAACCTTAAGCAAGTTGACTGGATCCAATTTCCTCTTTTTCTTGCCTTATTTTTTTGTTTTTGTTTTTTATTTATTTATTAGAGAGGTAGAGACACAGGCAGAGGGAGAAGCAGGCTCCACGCAGGGAGCCCAACATGGGACTCGATCCCAGGTCTCTAGGATCAGGCCCTGGGCTGAAGGCGGTGCTAAACCGCTGAGCCACCGGGGCTGCCCCGCCTTGTTTTGTTTTTATTAGGGAACAACATCTTGTGCTGCTTGTGGATCAATTTTATTAGTTTCAATTTATTCATTAGTTATTCATAAATTATCATTAGTTATAATTTATCCACGTTTATAGTTTTTTATATAGAGAAACTAGTCAGGTAATAGTCACATCAAAGAAGAGGTCCCAGTTAATAGTGCTTTGAAGTTAGCTTTTTTTTTTTAATTTTTAAGAAGATTTTATTTATTTGAGAGACAGAATGCAAGAGGCAGGAAAGGGCAAGGAGGGGCAGAGGGAGAAGCAGGCTCCCTGCTCAGTCTCAGATGTGGGACTTGATCCCAGACTCCTGGGATCTTGACCTGAGCCAAAGGCAACGCTTCACCAACAGAGCCACCCAGGTGCCCCTGAACTTAGCATCTTAAAATAAGGTAAAATGTAGTTCAGGTAATGATAAGTCTTTTGAAAAATACAAGAAGTTACAAGATGTCCCAGCTATAGTACTCTTACATGAATTAAAAAGTTTAAATCTGAGGCCACCTGGGTTGCTCAGTCAGTTAAGCATCTGCTTTCCCCACCAATGAACTTCAGTTTGTTTCCTATGATTAAGAGCCTTTTATGGTTTTCTCCCTCTCTGATTTCCTCGTTTTATTTTTTAACTCTTGTTTTATTTTTTCCTCTCTTGGAAACTAGAGTTCTTGGTAGATGATTACATCCAAGATTTTAGTTCAGAAATTGTAACTTATTTCAGATTCTTTTAGAAAGAAAATTGAAAAATATATCATGCATAGAGCAAAGCATAATATTTGAGGATCCTGAACAATAAACAAATGATTCTTTTGTAAATTATTTTAATGGGCAAGACAATAACCAGGCC